GGAGAGGGGGGCACCGAGATCGAAAAATTGTATTTTTCATATCCTGTACAAGAAAATAAAAAGAAGCCTCAAGCAGAAAATTATACTTTTGATAATTGTAGCGCGTATGGTAAAGAAAGCACTTTTTTTTTTTTTAAATATCCCGCATAAATACAAGGATTCTCTAACTTTGGTACTGGAATTGATGTCGCCCTATCCGTGGTACTTTTTGCCAACCTTTGACGGCTTTCCTGAGCTTGCCACCGCCCACTTACCAGAATGGGAATGTCAAGATTCATTTCCCGGGGCCGCAGAGAAATGAAAATTAAGCAGCCCAGGTGGGAATCGAGCCCACTACATTTAGAACCGGATACTCTGTGACCCAAGCCCCAGCGTTCTAGGCAATCCCGTCCTCTGTATCTTTGGTAATGAGAAAACAAAGAATACAATCTGCTGACACATTTCTGATACGTTTCTATTCGCTTTGATCAAATATGATTTTAAGCACTATTTTTCTGTTCTTTGGTTAACCCATTTGAAATCGACAAATGATAGATGATTGCTGACAAGTATGTTCATACTAGCCCAGTAAATTTATGATTTGATATCAAGAAAACTCATAATTGCCTGAAAATTTGGTGATTAGTTCCTTATCGAATTTAGAACAAACCATAAAAAGTCCCCTAAAATCCCATGGCCACTTCCATCCCAAATGAAGTGTCAAAGATGGCCACCTAGAACTTTCTGTCTTATTTTATGTTTTTCCTCATATCTCCGTAAATGACCAATGTTCATCAATTCTGAAAGTACTAATGTAATCAGCAAGGATGCTTCTTTTGGATTATATTGAGGTTTTTCTAATGAGCTGAAATTACAAATGAGCCGTAAATTGATCTATGTGACGTAAAATGTTTTCTTAGTTTTCTGTCTGTCGTCCCTCATAACTTGGAGAATGTTGTCAAATCGGTAAACTTTTTTCTACTCCTAAACAAGAGAAATGTTCGAAAAATTGTTTGTCTAATATTTGATGAATATTTTAATCAAAAAGTCGCGATTTCAAAGCTGTATTCCTACTGGGATAATTCAGTTAAAACTATGTGTCTGAGCATATAGCATTCTTTATATATCTTTTCATAAAAAAAAATGTAAAAAACATAACAAATGAATTGTTCATTTAAATAAAAATATGTATTTAATACAATATTTTATGTAATGCAACAATTTAAAACTTGACTTAATTTACAAGTGTACCTTTCATTTATTCAAGATCATCATCGAAACAGTCAATAGAAGGAGGAGAATTTTGGCATGTCTCTCCTAAACAATAAGTACATAATTTTGAGCATGGTAGGTTTGCCTTCTTGCATTGGCCCCTTGCAACACAGCCCTGGTGTCATTTATTTTGCAGGCGCAAGATTAATATCTTATTAATCTTTAAATTAATATTTAATGTGTTATTCAGAAGCTTCAGAAAGCGTGGAAGGCACTGGTTTTAATATCAATTCTTTCATGAACCATTACTATTCAGTAGGATCCAGACTGTTTCCTAGTCATTGCTACACTTGGAGTCATGCTTGAAGAAAATGGTGTGAAGCTGCAGAACTTGTAGATGAAAGCTGTTCTAAGTTCAACTTAGAAGAGAGGTGTCGAGGTACATGTGCAGAGAGTATGCAGTTACCAGAAGGCCTCGACAGAGCGTGTTCAATATGGATGGTAAAATGAGTGGATGAAGGAAGATGAGTAGAAGGATGACCTTAGCACCCGATCGCTCTTGTTCTGCGGTGTAAGGGATCAACCTTAACACCCCACAAGAATGGTAACCACAAAGGGAGGGATCAATCTCCAGACTTTGTGGGAGGATGATATTCTAGAGAAAGGATATATCCTATATACTAAGTCAACCTCTTGACTTAGTATATAGGACTACAAACGGACGGATCAGCGTTCAGGCTTGTATCAAGTAAGAGCAGAGGATAAAAGGTTACATGATATAGTGAAATGAAAAGCAGTTTGTGGAAAACCCAAAAGAATATATGTACAATATACTGATCAACTGGGTGAAGGTCTACCCTGAAGGGGTCGCGATTGATCGAACTGAACAGATTAGTGTATCTGCATCGCCCTCCGCCTGCACTGCTGTCATTCCTTCAGATTCGAAGTAGCCTGTCATCATATCTATTTATCTTGTTGAGTTTCGCAAAAAAAAATAACTTTTTTGGTTGAGGCTGCCTTATTTTCATCAGAAGCAATATTTGCAGACATTTTTTATATCATTTTTCTTTGTTGCTCCACAATTTTCTACTGTTCTCTGTGGTTTTTCCGTGGTTCGTCAAAAACCACTGCTTTACCTGGAAAATAAACGATGTTTCACAAAATTTACATATTTGTGGCATAAATCATTATAGGTATCCAACTCACTCGAAGTAGGAGATATCATCCATCAACCACAGATAAATAGGTTGATGGTGCCTCAACCTATGGCATAACTGACTCAATGAAATAGTAATTGAGAAGAAAATTTTATTTAAGATGTTCAATTTCTGTAACATAGAAAGATCAAAGTTCTACAACCTTTAAAATTATCCCACTTAAGATTACAAGAAACAGAAATTTTTTTTCTATTTTTCATAGTTCCAAAGTTATCAGATGAAACAGAGAAGGAGTTGGTATTAAACAAGTAGCACTATAAAAATTGTTAAGGGGCATATGTTTACGGGGTTATGGACTTATGTGAGGTTTCTGTCTGAGAGATCTTCGAAACCATGAAGCAAGGTGAAAACTTAGAACTGAGAGCAATTACATATTTTGGAAGCAGGGAATATTAAATTCCTTTTTGGGGTTCTTTAAAAATCTTAAATCCAAATTGTTATATAAATAAAATAATAAAACCTGTAGTACCAGATTTTCTTGAATGATTTTTTTTTTTCCGGTCATCAACTAGGGCATTTATAACTCCTAACGATTTTCTTCAAATTCAACTTTAATGTATAACCGCTTGGAAACTGAAGTACTGCTTCACCAGTTGACACCGATAACTTTTTGATTTTTTTTTTTTCAAGCTAAAAGTTAAGAAAACCCGTTTTGTTTTTATATCTTTAGTTTTAATTATTATACATTTCATGTAGCATATAGCTCTAAATTCCTATTAATTTTTGTATGCATTGGTGGAGCAGTTCTAAAATTATCACGAGTTTTGTGGTTGTTGACGAAATCTAGAATGGTCCCGCCTAGCCAAAATTTCGTACAAAAAATTTTAATTTTTCCAATGCTAAAAAAATCGTATTTAAATGGTTTTTGAGGAACGAAAAACGAATATCAACTTTCTCCCTAAAAAAGATTTACTCAAGATACCAGACCGGTTTTTAATAAATGTTATATTTGGCAAATAGCTACAATATGGGCACAATTTGGACCAACCTACACAAAATGGGACGAGTAAGGGAAAACTCATGACATCGGCTAAAATTATTTATTTTTTTAGAACACCAAAATCTAGTTCAACTGTTTTGTTGATACCTTCTGGAATTCGTGAGATTATTTTCAGTTGGCACAATATACATTTTTTACTGTTTTATTGAATAGTTACATAGTGGAATTTCCAAGTCATTTTGTGGAATTTCGCGTGATTTGTTGGTTTTGTAAAATTGCCTTTTTTGAGCTGGTGGTTCATAATTTTTTCTTGAAACTTGACCAACTTTTTACTGTCCTTCTGCTCAACTATAAAAAATATAATAACTTATAAAACTTGTTTTACTTCAATTCTTTTTTCTTTTTTGTTAACAAAAATAGGTGTTTTCAAATCAAATTTTTACTAAGACTGCAATTTAAAAAAAGCTCTGATATCCTCTGAAAAATGATTTCTTTACAATTTTTAGGAGTCATTGTTAAAAATAAATTTGTATTAAATTTAACGGCCATAATTCGCATAAAGGTAGCGAAAGCTGATTCCGCAAAGGTCAATATTTTGATTATGTTGGTATTTTTCGGCTAATCGAGAATCTATATCTATATTTTAATTAACAATATTATACAGTACAGAACCTATTTGATCTACTAACTCTGACTGCGGCGTATTATGGTCATGATTGATTGTTTAGGATAGATGTGAGTTTCTCTGCCTTCGAGATAGGGTGTGGATTAGATACTATATGTTCGAGAGGATTAGTATCCGGTGATTGAGGAACAGCAATAAGGTTATCTGAAGGAGAAGCAGGCTTTTAATTATAGTTTTGCGGTAGAAACTCCGCCCAGGACGTTTCACGTAAGCCACCTCACTGAAGTTAGGAAAATCAGATGGTGGAAGGATGGTTAGGTAATGTCTTTACCTTACCTGAGGCCTTAGAACTTGTTTCTTGTCAAAACTGAGTAAATTTAGTTTGTTTTTCTGTTTTTTTTGGGGGGGAGGGTGGGGTTTTTTTTTTTTTTTTATGTATATGGGCACTCTTAGCTGTTGAACAAATGGCCACCTCCACAGCGAACGCAAACATGGAAAAAGTGAATATTACGGCACTGCGTACTGAATAAACAAAACATGAGGACGAAATTCAGCCGTTCAGTTGCTATAAAATTATATTCAATTTTCTCAGATAAGTATTAACTAAACATTTAATTCAGATATCATATGGCTCTAAAGACAAAAAGGGCGCATACCCTTAGCGAAGTAGCTAACGTTTTTCAGTTATTTTATGTGCGACCAACCGTTTTTGGGATATAAGCGAAAAACTGGAAAACCGTCCTCCACCATGAAGCGGCAGTGGTATGAAATAGAACTTTTAATGTTTTTCATCTAAGTGTTATTCCTCTTTCGGTATATTCTGCACTTTTTTTTCAGTTATGACTGAACTAATTGACAAATCCCCATCAAACGGTATATCTAAACCAAATTAAATTTCCAAATCTGACAGGTAATTCCTAAAATAAACATGTTCAACTTCGTTTACTAGTAGGGATAGATTATTATTACTAACAATATTTTACTATAACAGGATATAATAAAATAATAAGAATGAACATAATTTCAGTTGCCTTGGCCATAGGAATCCCACTGTTGGGCCTGTTCTTGTCATTGGTGGGAGCACTTCGAGGCCTCATGTCTATAGTTTTTCCCGCAATCATGTCTATCTGCCATTACTACCCTGACCGATACGGGCCTATGAAGATATACCTCTGGAAAGATATCGCCGTCTTAATAATTGGACTTGTCTTTCTGATATGTGGAACTGTGTCCTGTATAGTAAATATTTACTTTGGATTGCAAAAATATCATGCAGATAAAGCGGCTGGTAAACTAGATTGAATTTTGACTAAACTAATTTAGAATGAAATTAATTTCTCAAACTATTACTAATTAAATTTTCATATTCACACTTGTATCTAAATAAAGAGCACATATTTTTTTTCTATCTTTCATTTATTTTATATTAAATTAACTATTATTACTATATATACTATATTGAGTTTTCTTTAAAATACTCATTATTCATTTTTATGAATGTCAAACACCTATCCTTATCTTCACTGAAATATTTCTTTAAATTTTAAAGAAATAATTTTGTAACTAACTTCAAATACAATTTTAATGGATTATATAATCATTTAGGGGGTGGGGTAGACGTACGGGCCACAGGCGGACCTACGGGAGGCTTTCGGGCTGAAGCCTCTCCAAAATGGTAAAATATAACCATGTTTTACAGAAAAAAGTATTAAAAAGTATCTCTTAAAGTATTCTTGTTCGTGTAATTATATTTAATAGGACTTCAAGAACCACTTAAACACCATATCATATCGGTAATTAATTTCATTATTTTTTTCAAATTAATTATCGTTATATGTATATGAAAAAAAATCTTTCGGGCTGAAGCCCCCAACCAAAATTAAATCCTGGATCCGCTAGTGGTACGGGCTAAGGCGCTTGCAATAGGTAATCAAAGTCCTCTTCCAAGCGATAAGGTTTGTTTACCTCTGCAACACTTCCCTGCTTAGAAATAATTAGTCTCTCCTAAGATGTCAACGCATGATTTTCTTATAATTTTGGTTTCCGTGTCTAAACTCGGCCGGAATGAGGTCTAGACGGCCAGAAACATCAATCAATTCTGGAGCGAGAGCAGCATTAATGAGTACACTGTTCAACGGTGGTTCCAAAAATTTCGGGAGGGAGACTTCAGCCTTGAAGACAAAAAAGGTCGTGGAAGAACTTCCTCTCTTGATGACGAAGTTCTGCGGGGTTTGGTGGAAGAAAACTCCAAAACAACTGTTCCAGAACTTGAATAAAAGCTTATAAGTAATTGTAATATCTTACTTTTAGTTAGAGAATGTTTATTAGTTTTCGTGGAAACGGTTGGTTTATAATGATGATATTATTTTATTATTTATATATATTTTTTTCTCTCCATTATCTTCTACGACTTAGTTATGTTCGATATTATTTTTTTCTAAACGCTTCAGTATACCAACGATGTATTTATTATACATATTCATTCTTACTATTATTTCCGGAAATTCATTTTCATTCTTAATTACATTTTTATTTTATTTTTCCTTTATTCAATCATCAAATTCTTTCATTGTTTATATTGGGCACCTTATTATTAACACTAACAATGAGAGACAGTTAGTTATTTAAAATAAACCAAATTAAAGGTACTTTAGAGGAAGACATTTTGAAAATTCGATATCTGAGCCCTTGGTAAACTTGAGTGATAAGAATTTTAAGTGGCATGGCCTAGATATTATTAAATACCATTGAAATGTCCATTGATACCCAAAGTTTTATTTAATTCGTAAAAGCCGTTTTCAAGAAAGTTGTAAAAATATGTAAAATGTAAGATATAAAGTGGCAATTCGAGTTAGCCGATTTTAGGGAAAAGGTCGGTGTAACATCACAGCCATATAATTATCTTAAAGACTTAATATCAGTTTCTTACCACATAGACTCTACACACACACACACACACACACACACACACACACACACACACACACACACACACACACACACACACACACACACACACACACACACCACACACACACACACACACACACACACACACACACCACACACACACACACACACACACACACACACACACACACACACACACACACACACACACACACACACACACCACACACACACACACACACACACACACACACACACACACACACACACACACACACACACACACACACACACACACACACACACACACACACACACACACACACACACACACACACACACACACACACACACACACCACACACACACACACACACACACACACACACACACACACACACACACACACACACACACACACACACACACCACACACACACACACACACACACACACACACACACACACACACACACACACACACACACACACACACACACACACACACACACACACACACACACACACACACACACACACACACACACACACACACACACACACACACACACACACACACACACACACACACACACACACCACACACACACACACACACACACACACACACACACACACACACACACACACACACACACACACACACACACCACACACACACACACACACACACACACACACACACACACACACCACACACACACACACACACACACACACACACACACACACACACACACACACACACACACACACACACACACACACACACACACACACACACACACACACACACACACACACACACACACACACACACACACACACCACACACACACACACACACACACACACACACACACACACACACACACACACACACACACACACACACACCACACACACACACACACACACACACACACACACACACACACACACACACACACACACACACACACACACACACACACACACACACACACACACACACACACACACACACACACACACACACACACACACACACACACACACACACACACACACACACACACACACACACACACACACACACACACACACACACACACACCACACACACACACACACACACACACACACACACACACACACACACACACACACACACACACACACACACACACACACACACACACACACACACACCACACACACACACACACACACACACACACACACACACACACACACACACACACACACACACACACACACACACACACACACACACACACACACACACACACACACACACACACACACACACACACACACACGAACTTTTTCGAACTTTTTATTTACTTAATTATCCTAACCGAAAAAATCTGGTGCGCGCAGCACACAACTTTCACTTACCGCTCTACTTTTAATAGAAATTATTTTTTCGCAATGTTAGACAATTCTAAATCTTTTGAAGTGCACGGAGTTACAGCTAACAAATAATTAAAATAACGAAAACCCCATTAATTATATCAACGGTAGACAATATTATATTATATAATACATCTGTATTATATAATATATATATATATATATGTGATTTACGTTAAATATTATTAGTTTTCAAAAATTATTATAATATTTTTGTTACTCTCCGTTACCTTCTACAACTTTCTATATTAGATATTGATTTTTCTAAAATTCTCTGCTTTCCAACGATATATTATACGTACACCTTCTGACTAGTATTTCCGGAGATTCATTTTCAACCTGGATAAGCCTTTTTATTTTTTTTCTCCTTTATTCAATTTATCAAATTCTTTCAAAAGTTATATTTTGCATTTTTTTTTTTTTTTTTTGTAGCTCTTAATAATGAGAGATGGTTAATTATTTAAAAAGAACCATATTAAAGGTACTTTAGAGGAAGGCCCATATGAACATTGGGCATTTAAGTCCTGTAGAATGACATCAATGGAGATACGACATAAACGATATTAAAGACCACTTAATTTCAATATTTTAAAGCGTGTATTGCTGTTGAAAACTCTGATTCGAAATTTTTCCTTACCATATAGTTCATATATTAGTAAATGAATGCAAAAAACATGAGTAATGTCAATTTTGTTCAAATCGTTCACAAGAAAGTTGAAAGCCGATGCTGTTTGAAATTTAATGGCCTAAAAGAACGAAAAAAAATTATTGTATGAAAAGATCTGGAGACATCATTTATTTTTTATAACTTATTTATTACTTTTTAAAATATATGAATGGTTCTTTAAAACATTAATTAAACAGTGGATAAGCGATACTGACGTAAGCTCCTTGATACTTGTGTCATCAAATTATTGATACATACAAAAGATATTGTTCTATTGAAACGTTTCTGAAGAATTAGTGAAAGTATTAATATTACTTCTCAACTCATCATTTGTTTAACGTTTCGATTGGCCATTAATATTCAAAACACAAAATTTACATCATATGCAATTCATACTTCCCTCCTGCTATGTATTGTAAAGACCGTCGGTGGAATAATTAGTTTAAAGGTATAAACAAATAAACATCAGAAGTCATACTAACATCTGGCGGTTGGGTACCTGAGGGAGGGTAACCCATTAGGACAACCTTTTGTAAGTGGTAATAAAAACCCTTAAGAACCACCGACAAAGACCGACAACTAAGTGTTTAAAAAGGGTCCCGAAAGACCTTTTCACACCTTCCACCAGAAATACCTAAGTCTGTACCTGCTGCTTTATCTTGGCCTGGGGGAGAGGGCGTGGTCATCCCTTAGGCTGAGAGTATTCAGCCAATCAGGAAAAAGGCTACCAAAAGAGAGGGGGATGAAAAAAGGTGGAAAATATAGAACTTGGACGAAGACACTTCTTCTGGGAACTTGGAGCTGAGAGGACTTCTTCTGGGGACTTCAAGCGGGGGAGTCGAGGGAGGAAGATGAAGACAGCCGGAGAGAGCAGATGGACGGACTAGACGCTGAAGGAGAGCAGAGACAGGGAATCCAGATATGACAGCTAGAAACACTATGAAGGACCAGCTAAGTGGTAACAAGCATTTAGTTATACTAATGTAAATTTGTGTTGGCAACCATACATCATTAATTAATAAAATCAATACACCAAGCATTCTCCTCTAGTATGATTCTTAACTATTCATTATGTATATAGGTTTAGTTATTATTTTGTATATAGATATTTTTGGTTTTATTTAAGCTTGTAAATATAATAGTTAGTAAACCAACGTAGTACTTTTACATTCTACCTTGCATGCCACCAATTAGTAATAGAAACAAATAGTACATTTATAACATGATACCTTTAGAAAGGAAATCCAATAAAGAGTATATGGTTCAATCTAGGATACTACAGTAGGGGGTCTGTGGTATCTAACATTTAAATACATCATTAATATATTTTAAGTTGATCGGTTCCCTTCTGGGACCGATATAAATACATATTAATACAAATAAATGCGATTCCTGGAACCCCATACTCGCCGTAGAAACGCGAGGCCAGGAACATAGCACTCCTTATTGTTCTTATCATGATATATGTAACGATATTTATA